GCAGGGTTGAGGTGAGAAAGGTGCGTCGGTCAATTCTGACATCAACTGGAAAGACCTGTTGTATTACGTGGCACACATGAAAATTTGTTAAGTAAGGCTTGCCTGACTTTTGTCACCAAGCAGAAATCTCAACAAGACCATGCGCGCGACTCGATACCAGCAGAGTACGGACTGTATGCGACAACCCAGGCGAAGGCGCAGATTTTCGATGGAAACCTCATGCTGCCGCTCTTGTCACGTGTCGTGGCAACTATTTCCCACTGCTCCAGAACTCTGATCAGCTCCTCGAAGACACGGTGTCCTTGTTATCAGAATGCGCCGCATGGCGGCTTTCCGCGATGCAATGCGGAAGCTGGTGCACTGCGAGCGATTGTCCAAGGCGATGCCTCCTTCCAAAAGAGGCCAACCATGGCACGCGACCTCGATGCCTCCGGCTTCTTGTCGCCCATGCCTTCTGATTCTGCTTGACCACCACGTGCTGAATCTTCGTCTGCGTCAGGGCCCCAAGGCGTGGAGGGGAGGGAGGGTGCTTCAAACGGATTGAGCAGCGAACTAAGATGCAAACAAGTTCTCGGTTGTTTTTTTTCTGAGGGCCCCCCGTGCGCACAAACAGCAGACGCAGAATTCAACGCGATTTCGCGTTTTGCCTGTTTTTGTTATATTTCGCTTTTGGTGGGAGCTCATGTGCAATTTAAATGAATTTGGCGAATGCTGAGAACTCCTCAGTGTATCACAACCGGCGATCATTGCAACGGGCATGCGTGGGAGCCGTGCCGGTGACCGAGGTATGCACCGCAACCGCAGCATGCTCCACCAATGCCTGGCCCAACCGGCGGGCCCTGGCAGCGCGGGCACGCTAAGCTTGCCCTTCCGATGCTGGCAGTTCCAGCGACTGCGTCGAGCACCGTCCACGGAAGCTGCATATGGTCGCAGCACTGCGAGCCCCCCCCGCTGCTCCGCGCACTGTACACAAGGCGGTCGACCTGCGTTCACTTGTGCTCCGACGTTCGGGCTGGTGGTGTGGGGCAGCTGTGGGGGAACGAGCAGAAGACATGCCGAAGCCATCGACTGCCGAGCCGCAGCCATGGGGTATGCGATGGTATGCGGGTGTTCCAATGGCTGTAGTGCAGATGCCGAAGCTTACTCGGCAATCGTCGGCTTTTGCAGCACTGCTGACAATTGCTGTTCGTTCAACAATCCTGGGGACAAAAACCCACGAAGGCAAGATCAGGTGAGCCGATTACGGGTGCCGTCCCCAAAGTCTGTAGTTTCCTTATTTGTTGGATGAGCAATGATGCGCATAGAATGTCGCCACGCGCGCGCTACCCCTAGAGCATGCCGTCGCGCGAGTCGGTCGTGAGGCCGTCATGTTCCGAGGCACAGCTGGAATGAAAGCAGCCGGTCAAGATGGTTTGACGCTTGGCAACCAAAGTTCAGGGAGACCAACATATCGTGCCGGAATGCCGGCAACATACATGTTGCCCTTCATGTTCGACGCGGATTAGAGGTGGATCAACTCCCCCCGTGTTTGCTGGAATCGTCCAAAGCAGAAGCGCGATTTGTCTTGTGGTTTCGCAGGTTTCCGAAGAGCCGGTGTGTGCCTCACCTGATTTCGCCTTGGCGGCTCTTCGGTCTCTTGGCTGTGTGTTCCTTTTTTCCTTGTTGCAGTTGCAGAAGGGCGAGCTGTGAGCCATGCCACAAAGTGAGGCCGTTGGCGACGACCTCAATGCGCCGTTCGTCCGAGACCGGCACGTCGAGGTTCATGTCAGCAAGCCGGACGTGGCGGGCGACCCGGGCGCACGGGCCGCGAACTCGAGTCCCATATCTGCTACGGCCTGGTTTGCACAAAACCCAGATCTGAACAGGGAACGCTACCTCTTGAACAACATCATATCAAATGTTGCAGTCGTCCGAGCACGAACGCACGTGGCGAGAACAGAACTGAACTTTGACGAACCGTAACGAACCCTTGAGGCCGAAAGCCTTTGGACTGTAGTTGGGCATGTCTTGAACTGTTTGCAAGCGATTCTGATTTATGGTGCGGTTTCTGAGCTTGCTCGCTCAAAACGACCACGTGTGCGTTGCTTTCTCATCGTCCTCCATCTGTGGCGGTCGACGCACAGGACGAGCGTGCAGGGACCACCAACTGCTGCGCACAGAAGACACGCAAGTCAATGCAAAGCAAGGTGGAACACAAAACTGTATGGGGCACAAGGTCAGCTCCAGGGCCAGGCCTGCAGGCGATACAGTGCAGGGCGCAGGATGCTGACATGCTGCGAGCAAAAGGCGGCGTGAAGAGCTTGACGGACCGCAACCAAACCTATACACGGGACGGTTAGGATGCGGAGCAGGCGCAGGCAGGCCTCAAGGTGCCCCAGCCTGACCCGAGGCATCAGCTCTGCGGCCGAGGGCCGCGCGGGCATTGTGGCTTCGCAGCAAGACAAAAGCACTTTTGCAGAAGCTCGGCGTGCAACGGCCCAGGTTCGGAGGCCGTGCGCGCAACAGTGCCCGCGACATGGAAGCAGCGGGCTCCCAAGCCCCGCTTGGCACAATGTGGCCGTGTCAAGGTGCGCACGCTTCGTGGCTGCGTATTGAAAGTCAGCGCGTATTGAACGTCAGCTGCGAGGGCTTGCTGCCCTGCTTGAGCTAGGGACTCCTGCCGCTGTGGGGCCGTGACGCCCGGGTCGAGCGCAGCAGGGGCCCCGGACAAGGAGGTTGAAAAACATCAGCTGGCCTGCGTTGGAAGGAGAAGGCCAGCTTCCTCCACCCCAGGATGACGACAGGTTACGTAGCGTGTTGTGGCGCTGTGTGCGCTCACCACCGGCAGCGCAGGTGCCAGCGTGCAGGGCAAATTTATCCATGATACCGTCACACTTAGGGCAGCAAGCGTCCGACGAGGCGTCGGGCACGCCCAGACGGCGCCTGAGCTCCATCACAAAGGCTGCGCCTTCCATCCGCGTTTTGGCGACTGGAATGGCAGCACGCCAGGCAACGGCGCCTTGCTCGGCCTCAGAGCGCAGCAGGGCAGTGACAATGGATGGGGAGAGGTGCCGGCCCCAGCTGGCCGTGTCACAAAAGGTAGTCAAAGCTTTCTGCTTCATGCCCAGTGCAAGGTGGGTGGCCAGCGGCTGCCCGAAGTTTGGTGCTGCAAGAAGTGGCAGCAAGCACAACAACAGGTTCAGAGGCAAGCCCATGTGGCGCACAGGCCGGGTCAAGTTCTCTGCACGCTTGTGCACAGAAGCAAGGTAAGCTGCTGCAACGTCACGGGAAACAGCACGCAATCCAAGCCCGGCATGGGCCAGGCCACGCGCAGCCTCCCACTGCACGTCAGTAAGGTGGAGCCCAGTCAGGCCGGAGAAACAATCCCGGACGAGAGCATCGAACTCTTGCAGGCCAGGATTGCCCCCGAGCAAAGGCGAGCCTTGCATGCTGCGGACCGATTTGCACCTAAGGATCCTCCAGGAGGCGGCTTGGACCCGAGCGGCAGTGTGTGAGGTCATGTATGGTTCATCCCCAACCGCCCCAAGCAGCTCGAAGTTGCGCTGCAAACGGCTGGTTCCACCGGCTGCATGCAAAAGCTGATGTGGGAAGTGCGGTGACAGGGCAACATCAGGCAAGCCACCAACAACCACAAGTTCACACTTGGGCAAGTTGAGCGAAAAGCCTAACTCGGAACCCCGGGCCTGCACGTGCCGCAAGGTGGCAGCGCAGCAGCGTCGCCAGCTGGAAGGCCATCATCCAAGTAGAAGAAGGCAAGGTCAAGGCCAAGCGCGGGATCTCGCAGTTCACGGGTGAGAGGCTGCAAAGCCGCGGCGAAGAACAAGGGCCCCAGAGGGTCGCCCTGCTGCACACCCCCTGCCGACCAAACGGTGCTTGCATTGCCAAGCTGCAAGCGTGTCGGCTGAGCATAGCACCATGCAGCAAACCGGGCTAGAGGGGAAGTGGGCCATCACAGTAGCAAGTGGCAAGCATGGCACGGCGTGAGATGCAGTCAAAGGCATTGCTAAAGTCCAGTTTCAACACGACCTTGCGAGTGCCCGCGGCCATGTTGGAGCGACAGCCACGCACGGGCCTCTTGGCTTAGTGTTAGCTTCAAAATATTTGATCCTACGTTTGCAGCTTGTGTGTTCTGGTGCAGTTGTCAAAGAGGTTTCAAAAGAAGTTCGATCTTCGCGCACAGCGTATGAATAACTTTCAAATGTTTCGGATCGTGCTACTGTTGTCACGAGGAGCATCCCTGCGTATGGGACGGTGCTACAAACAAAGCAGTTCAAGACTACCGGATTGTACAGTATGGGACGTTTTCTCTGTCTGTTCGTTTTTGAGCAGGCCAACGCACTTTCTACGTTGCTACTTTGTCGTCGAGCAATTACATTATCCAAGTCATGGGTACAGCAGATGGCGTCGCCTAGTTTGCCCTGAGTCCTTGGATAAGTCGGCAAGTTTAAACATCTTCCCAGGCGATGGATGTTTCAAGAGTCGTGCTCTCAGGTCATGCTTTCCTGGCGGAACCCCAAACTTTAGGACTTTAGGCTGATCTGATGCACGCTGGCGATTTTCGGATTCCAGCCAACCTCCCCAAAGATTCCAAAACGTAAACAAGAGGGATTACAAGAGGGCAGCATCGTGGGCGAGGCACGGGCCGCTGCACATCATAATAAACTATTTGCATCCTCCCGCAGAGGCTGGGACCGGCAGGTTATATCCCGTGGCCGACACCTTGGTGCTACCCAATCCGGCGTTTGTATTGTCAGCGGCACCCATGGCAGCCCAGTGTGGGATCGAGGTCTTCCAACGGTGTTGTTGCGACCGATTCCTGTCTGTGCCTTGCGACTTTGGTGCCAGGCCACAACTGGAAGGTCCGTTGAAGCCTTGAAACCGCTTGGGAGCAGAGTCATTCCTGTCATAGTTTGGTTTTCTGTCGTCGTTTGTGTGGCTGCGGAAGCACTTTGAACAGGTTCATACCCAAGTTCAACACGCGGACCCGATGTGCTGGGATGAGGATTCATGATTGAACTTGGGAGCCGGTGCCACTTTGAGAATGGAGCTGCTGATCTGAATAATGCTTGTGAGGGGCAGTGAATCGCAACCGCTTCTTGTAGCTGGTGAGATGAATACGGCAACTCAAAGCTGAAGACTTTGGAGAAAAGCAGACTTCGGCTCCTCGGTCGCAACAGATGCCCATGCTGCTGCCTGTGCCTCGCCTGCCCTTTTCTGCTGCAGTGCCTGCACTGACCCGATACACGTGTGAAGCACAAGCCATAGACAACAGGCACGAAAGATCGTGAGCCACGTGGCTGTGCCTGGGCATTGCCGGACAACCTCTCAGTTTCAAAACAAGCTTTGTCCGACTCGCAATCAAGCGCGGCAACCAGCCCGCCTGGCTGACCATGCTCCCGTGCATGCCAGCGAGGACCATTGATAGGCTGGTTCCTTCCCAGATTGACAGTAACCCACGTAAGTAACCGCAGATCAGATCCAGAGGATTCCACCGGCACGACCGGCGCTGCTGTCACCAGGCCTCAGGTCACTCACGTCTGAGAACTTGCAGCCTGCAGCGTCTATGACTCACTGCTCCCAAACGCACCCTTATGGCTGTGAAACGCCTGCAATGCCTCACGTGCTACTTGTAATTACTGCGAAAGCAGACTTTGAGGGCCAACTCCCGTCTGACGGCGTTGAGCGGATCGGTACCATGGGCAAGAACTCTAGTACCTCGCATGAACTGATGCACGACCGGGTACCCCGCCCCCCACCCGACATCACAAGCATTCAACACGGGGCACGCCGCCAAGCAGCGGCAACTGCAATGGAGTCGCTCCTTCCAGACCTGCACCACAATGCATCATAAGAAGTCATCACTGTCGGATCGAGATGTGTCAGGCTGTCAGGCCTGCTGGAGGAGAGGGCCAACTCGCGATGGCTGACACGACCTGAGCTTCGCCATGCCACATCTATGCCAGGCACTGAATTCTCGAATCAAAGGGTATAACGGTACAACTGTAAAACTTATGGTTTCCACAATGTGACATCAAAAAGAAAAGTCCCGATGCACGCAGACTGTTGAAAGAGTCGGCACTTGAACATCTGGCTTTCATAAGGATGAGGCGCTGGATCTAGAACCTAGATTCTAAATGCTGGATGCAGCTCCAGAGATCGCGTGACTTGTGCGGGCGGCTCGACTTCCACCCTTTTTCGGCATGAGTCCTCGCCTCGCAACACCTGCGCAGAAGTGAAAGTCTGTGGCCATCTTGGCCCTTTATTTGGCAGTCTGGCATGGCTCACGGAACTTCACGACCATGTCGAACCCCACATTTGTGAGGTAGGACACGACTCTTGCGGCTAGCTTCTCCTCATTCAGCCCTGCACGAAGAGCAAGTGCTGCACCGGCCGCTGTGGCGACTCTGCCTTCCAAACCCATCATAGCATAGCCTTGCGTATCTACCCACCCCAGGTAAACTCCAGCCGTGACGCCAGCACCTACATAAACGTACACTACACCCTCCACCGTGGCAACATTGGCACCGTCGATGTCTGCACCAACCGTCTCCAGAACAAGGGAAATAATCTGTGGAACGGCAGTAATGAGGTCATCGAGAACTGGGATGGGCTCCTGCGCCTTGATCTCACTAAGTACTTCCACCAAGGAAGCTCCAGAAGAGGAGTAGGACTTCATGTACATGGCCAAACCATCGACGGCCAAGCCATCACGCACATCACGGACGCCGGCAAGTGCATAGAGTGAACCACCAGTAATCCCTAAATTGAACTTCGGCTTCACGACCACACCAGATGAATCTATTTCCAGGGGTCCCACATGTACTTTGGTTTTGGAGGCGCCAACAGCATCACCTGTTGTCGAAGCGGCCGACAAGACAGCATCTTGCTTGCGATTCTTTACACACAAGGAGCAACCCATCTTTGGAGATGTCCGATCGACCGGTTCCGCAGGACAGAAACTACCTGAAACCACTCTGAGCCAACGGCGAATGTTGCATATGTTCAGTGCAGAGGACAGCATTGGTTCTCCAGTGGGTAGTACAAGTGGTGCACTGCCTTTGCAAAGATATTCCTCCCCTTCCCTCGCCACCCGCGAACATGCTTCGATATGCTTCGGAGACAATTACATTTGTGCAAGCACAGACACCGGCAGTGTCGCTATCCGTGCCAGGCTGAGTATCCACGTACGAATGCTGAGCGGCTTCAGACATCAACACTGCAACTGTTTCCTGCATTCAGTCCACGAGCTCTTCTGCTCCGAGTGAAATACCTCACGGCTTGAGCTGTGACCTACCGCGGTCAGATCCGTAAGGTGGCATTCTGATATGATGTTGCAGTTCAGTGCATACTAAGCAGATGACATGATCAGAGCAGCTGCCTGCTGTGCGGATCTGACGTTCCTCTGCGGCTGTTCAGGACGTCAACATGTTGAGTTTGGCCTGCTGTCAAGGGACTTCGTTCTGAGCTTTTTGCAGCTATATGACTCGCTAAAGCACACAACCAAGACTGAGAGTAGGAATGTTCTCGCAGGCTGATCTTGAAGTAGCTGGGGGCCAGCGGCAAAGACCAAAAACCAAAGGTGCTTCTTTTCGCGACCGCTTCTGGCGGTGAGACAGAGCACAGTGAAACAGCGGCAGGCATCCCACATCTGTTAGCAGGATCCTGGAAGGCCGAGAGACACCGAGGCCATGACCACACAATCTCCTTCCAAGACATAGAACCAGTTTCCCAACGTGGCCTTGGTCCCACCTCCTGCTGGTGCAGCATAATGTACAAACCTTTGCAATCGCTCGTCCAAGACTAAGCCATGCGAAATCTTCGACGACTTGCCATAACACCCCCTGCACAGAGGGCTAACTTCGGATTTTATCCAGCCAGAGTGACACCTGCCAACATTTGGACAAGACGAACACCCTGTCCGGACCCACCCGAGTCTAAAACTGCGCTGTCTTCCACAAGTGCTTGTGTCTGTTAGCCAGGCAGAGGACATCCTGAAACAAGGTTTACTGGGTGCTCTTCTTAAGCCAAATTACCATTGGATAGACCTTCGCCCAACATGCAAGGATCAGTTGATCCTGAATCATCGTTCACACATGCAAGGTACGGCTCATGCATCCTTTTTCTTGCCCTTGGCCTTCCGCTTGTTTCTGATTTGCTGCTGCTGCTCAACACGCTCGCTGTTGTATTTGATCTGCTTCCGATGTGAAACTTCATCGTCCAGCTCTTCGTCGAGATCATCGTCGTCGTCATCATGCTCTTCTTCCTGAACAATCGGGTCGGTCGAGGATGCTACTGGTAGCCATAGGATCAACAACTGCAAAACTGCAGCGCAACCAGAAACATGCTACAACTCGATTGTCAGAAATGTGCCTCACGGCTCCTTATAAATCAAAAACCAAAACCAAAACCCTTCATGTCGTTCTCGCTGCTCCTGGACGTTGAGCTTGATGCGGGCTTCAGACTGGCTTCGCAGCATGAGCTTCTCCTCGTATTTCTCGTCCTCGGGTAGACCCAGAAATGAGTTGGGCAAGACTGTCAAGACACTTGACAAATCTGACTGAGGCTGCATCGTCCATTCGTCGCTGTCGGTCGCTGACTTCTTCCAATGGAGCAGTCAAACTTAGAAGCTTCGAGATCTTCAGCTCACACTGCTCCAACATGTGCTCAACCTCGATCTTATCGTCCTCGGATGCAAACGGCCGGAGGCTCAAATCCACAGCCCCTATTGCTGAGGAACAGACAGTAGAATAAAGACGGCAACATATCGCAGACGGTCTAATTCCGTCTGCAGCATAGCAGTTGCGCCCATGGACTACTCATCAGCAGGACAACTGCAAACTTGAAACAGCAACAGCAACAACAACAACAACAACAACAACAACAACTGCAACAACAACAAGAACAACAACAACAACAACAACAACAACAACAACAACAACAACAACAACAACAGCAACAACAAGAACAACCAGCGGCACAACCACAACCAGCGGCACAACCACAACCGCGACAACGACGACAACGACCACGACCACGGCGACGAAGACGACGAAGCGAGATGCTTGGCATGCTGACGACACTTACAGGTTCTTCTGCGGAAACGCAACAACAAAAGTAGGCATAAGAGCGTCTTCCACACACAGTGTCGCAGGACAAAGGATCATGTACGAATGTCTGTCGTCTGTGACGCTTCATGCCTTGCTTGTGCAAACATTGGAGCAATGAGATATATTGGCCAAGTCTCATTCGGGTCTATAGTTGTCTCGCCCTCCAGCTTCACAACTTGAAGCTTCTCCGACAGGTGCCCAATGCCAGCCTTCATGTCTATCAGAAGCCTGCCGATCGATCATTGTGACGAAATGTCTCCGATGAAAGGAGCCGAATTCAATCAACTAGCGCTCGCTACTATAGACCTATGCACGTGCTTCAGGTGTTGCCGTGGAGTTGTGCGACCGCTCTAAGTTGAATAAAAACTTAACACACCTCTGTATACCTGCATCCCGGAAGGTCGCGAAAAAGACCCGGGCAGGCTTTTCATCACCTGTCACCCTTCCCGTCCTCGCCACCCTCTCGTACTTGCCGCGGTTGCGCTCAAACTTCTCCGTCGCCTCCCCTAGATGGGACTCGAAGTCGTCAATGGCCTCAGCACTGCTCAGCACGACAAAGCACACCCACCATACTCCCCGCAGCCCTGTCACCCGCCACGGGCCTGCCGACGGCCTCCTTGCCCACCGCTGGAGAACTTCAAGTCCTCCACCTCTCAGAGCTTGACAGTGTCAGTTTGGGAGCGCAATGACAAAACTGAAGCGTCGCCTGAAGACGGAGCTTTTTGCGATCTTCGGTGAGCCTGAAAGTCTGAAAAAACAGGCCACATCAAAGCGTGACGCCCCTCCGGTCCGCAACTGCAGGTACTGTTCCAAGGGACCTGTCGATGGTCTCCTGATTCTCCTTGGTGAGTTGCTGCAAATTCTTCTGAGTGTCTTCCTGCGTGAGGAACTTCTGGATGATCTCGTTGGCATCACTAACACCTCATACGTCTCCATCATGGACGGTGGAACAAGACTCAGCATCTGCCTTGATTTACTTCATGATGTCTATCTTGTCCGACTGACAAACTCTGCAAAGTGTAAAGCCTACGGATATACATGGATGCACTACTCCGCCAACGTTGAACCGTAGCCCGAGCCTGTGGCATCTTTGATTGCTTGCACTGCTTCCTGCAATTTTCCGCCAATACTGAAAGAGTGATACCCAGATATACTCAGGGTGTCAGCAGTGGCCTTGTAGTCCATGATCTTCTGAAGCTCCTCTTGTGCCGCATCTCCGGAGTAGCCTCTGAAGACAGCGTTCACTTTTAGCATGTTCTCGGGTACTTGCAACAAGTTTGGCAATGCCGAGCCTGCTGTGAACTCAGATGCAACCGATGCCTCCTTCAGCGACCGATCGTGTCCTTTGTCTGTCTCGGGCTGCTGCTTCAGACTCTTCTCTCGAAGCTCCAGTCTCTTGTTCATCCTGCAGCCGCACATCGCACGACAACACGGGCGAGTCACCCCTAGCACATGGAACCATGATGAATTATACACATGATGAATCATGTACACTACCAGCACTACCAGCCAAAACCGTGGCAAGAGGCTCGACACGCTGTTCAACCAATATCTTCTTTTCTTGGACCTCCTTGTCCCGCTGATTTCTTTCTTCCATCACCCCCTGCTCGAAGCGATGTAGCTCGGCTTGCGCCATCTCCTACAGGGCAGCAAGGGAAGAAAGAGAGGACGAGAATTTTCTTCTCCTCCCCTGGCTTGGCCGAGCTCCGGCCTTGGCGTGGTAGGCATCATGAGAAAGCAGAAGAAGCTCCTCATAGTCGCGCTCCTTGGCCTTCAAGGTTCGCTCGATGGCCGCCAGCTGGTTGTCGAAGCCGATGCGCTCATCTTTCAAGCGCTTGACGATGGCCTCGTAGGTTTTCCGAATGCTCTGCGCTTCGTTGTACTTGATCATCACCTTGTCGAGCCGGTTCTCCAAGACTCGGATATGTCGCATCTCTGGGGATGCTTCACTAGAGTGCATCTTGGAGCCCATGGAGAGCTCGCCCTGCTTGATGCTCAGCTGCTCTATGTGCCCTCGCCTTGCGCGCCAGACTCTGAGCACATCTATCTGCACACAGCTCTATCAAAGCCCTGGGCCTCTTGTTGTTCTCGTTCTTCAGGAGGTCGAATCTCCTCTTCTGCATCAGCATGTCATGCACTTTGTAGCAAATGTGAAGCTCCAACTTCAGCAAGTGCTGTCCTTTGCATCTGCTGAACTTCGTGGCAAGTCTGCTCAAGGATCTTCTCCAAAGACTGCGGCTTCTCATCGCGCAGGGTCGCAATCTGATTTCGAAGCCTTTGGACTGGCCACAGCTCAGGCCCGGCATTCTTCCTATCCAGCTCCAGAATGGTCTTCGTGCAGGCAAGCAACGTTTTATTCTCATCCTTCATCTGGCCTATGATCTCCTGAAGCCGTCGCTGGAACATGCCAAAGGGACACCCTTTGCAAGTGATGAAGAGGAGCTGTCCTTATTTTGCTGTATGTTCAGCTTGGCAGTCTCGTATGTTGCTTTGCGTTCCTGAGCTCCAAGAGCACACCAACACTCTCGCACACAAGAGTCTCGCAAACTCCGGAATGGCCACAAAGATTCACCTTCCAGCAGTTGGAAGCGCCTCTGCAGGTCCTCCAGCTGCTCTTCCGGCGTCATGGCATTTTTGGCCATGGCCGGACCTACCTTCGGCTTCGTGCTTCCGATCCCACAAAACCAGAGCAAAAGGTGCAGCTGCAAACTACCCGCCGCGCCCGCCTGGCCTACTGGCGGTGGGAGGCGGCCTATTGGCGACCTCCACCACAAAGCCACACGACTTGCCAGCCACGCTTGAGCCGAAAACGGCCAGGTTGTGATTGCACATGAAGGCATGCAGAGAAGACAAGGTGCTCAGAGATGCCCGACAGCAACAAGCGAGAGCGTGCCACGATCAGGATGACAAACAACCTTCTCCAATTGAACGGTCTGTGATGTCTGTGTCCTGCCTCCGGCACAGCAAGCGCCAGTGTCATTCCGTAAGTGTCGCCGAACATCTCCGTATCGGCAGTTGTCCAGCATGTGCCATAAAATTCGCGTGATACTGTGGGCCCTTACATGATGCTTGACATTGTTTCAACAGGCCTTAGATGACTGTGCCTGGCAACAGGAAACGTGACGAATGCAGTTTGGCTTGAGCTCCAGACTGCAGTTCATGGCATGTGTCCCTAGCCGACCGAACCCTGGCTGCTGCAGCAAAATGCCACGTTTCGGTTAGTACTGCCACTGCTGCTGCTACCGTTGCTGCTGCCGGTTCTGCTGCTGATAACACCACTCAAATTAAAACCACTGCTATTCTTGATATTTGTCTTGCCCTTGCTCGGTTAGCAATACTACTGTTGCAATTGTTGGAATCTCCCCTCTAGTATACGCTCCCTTTAGAGTTAGGCAGCAACTTGTAATTTGCAACTGGTAACTATTGCTTTGCACCTAGTGCTTTCCAGCTGAGACCAGAGCTTCCTCGAGTACATCTGGTCCCCGCCTCGAATGCCCACACAGCAAAGGGTCAGGTGCAGGAAGCAGCCGCCCTTATCACCCTCGCGGCCCACCGAGCCCAGCACTCCTGGAAGTGCTTGCCTACCTCCGTTACCAAGGCGGCCTCAAAACTGCCAAGGAAAACTCAAGCCGCTGGAGAGGACAGGTGATCACCAGCAACCGGTATGAAGTTCGACATATCGCTTGGACGAGTGCCCAAAATGCCAGGAAGCCATGTTGGGATACAACCTTGGCGACCGCTCCGCTGGTTTCGATGCGAAATTGGCCAGATGGTCAAGGCTCCCACAACCAGGCTACGTTGGACACAATGTCGCTTGCTTGCCTCTAGCCAATCCGTGTTGTTCTTCTCTTATTGAAGGGCTCCTGTAATTGACCAGTTCCTTTAAAGAGCTCCTTTGGGGTGTCATTAAGAGGTTCCTTTCAGGGTTATTTCAAGACTGAAATACAAGGATTATAAGCCTTCAGAGTGACACTTAGTCTTCGCTGGTAGCAACAAGTTCTGCTCTCACTGCACCGACAGCTAGTCCGGTCCTCGTCCGGTTGCTGCTGAAAGTAGGCCGCCTGAGCAAAGCACAGTCACATGAGTCGACTTTGCAGCAGAACAGCCGCCTTATGCACAGAGAAGGCTCTCTGAGCCCTTTGCAGCATACCAGAAATCGTCTTTCAGCGGCAAGTCCCTGCAGGACAGTAGTTCTCACGTGCTCTACCTTCCAGCTCATCCAAGGAATGATTGCCATGCCCCGAATTCAATTGCCATGATGGCTCGGATCCCGTGGTTGCGGTGTTCCATCTCTCGAGATTGTCGTTGTCCTTTGTCTTTACGTGCTCTTCTCGCTGCTTCCGGTGGGGTTAGCATATTGCTCAAAGGTTGTGTTGGAGGCGGATCGCTCTTCGCTCGTTTCTGAGAGCCACTACGGTCACTACGGCATCGCTTCAAGCAGGTGAAGTCTCCTCGTGCTGGGGTCTTTTGGCTCGCAAAGTCGCCACTTTAACTTTAGCGACTGTACATAGTGGATTGGATACGAGTCGACCTGGCGCCTCGCCTGCTTGCGCTTCGACGACCCCGAGATGCCTGAGCGACTTAGCACAAGCTCCTTTGAGTCTGCTAGCCTGGGCCGAAACCTTAAGAGCCCGGCACCACTTCCCCGCCGAAAGCGAAATGGAAAGACTGCTGTCTCTACCTCAGCAACCAGAGGCATGCTCGCTTCATCCAGAAGCTGATTCGACTAGTTCCGTGCTGCGATCGGCTGGAGTCCCTGCAGACGTCAGGCGGCTCGGCCCGGAATCCGGAAATGCAAGATACCTGATTCAACTTGGAGCTTCTGCCTTTGGACATGTGCTGCACTGCTATGAGCAGCTCACCGTAATAATTGACGATCCTCTTCAGAGAGGGGGCTATCGCCGGGAGTTTCCTCAGCGAACGCAGGCTTATCTGCTTGTCAACGTGAAACTCATTTGCTCCGCTGTCTACTTTCATATGCAGCTGCGTCTGAGCAGAGGACCAGTTCGAGCCGCTGTCCTGACATGCGCCCAACGAAGTTCGTGAGCACTTTCCGCTGAGACTTGGATGAGCTCACAAAGCTCCTTGCTCCAGGTCGAAAATGCAGACACAGAAGCAGCAGGTCCACTGCCTGAAGGCCTCTCACAAAACAAACTCTGCAGGCTCTCAAAAATTACCTCAAACCGCGGACCGCGCCAGGGTTCGAGAGCCCGGCCTGGAGCTTCTCTCCAGTAAGCACCGTCCCAGCGGTGCTCGCAGGCCCTTGGACTGGATCCTGCGAAGAAAGCAAAGTCTGCAGATGCAATCAAGTTGCAACTGCTGCCTGCAAGCAGACCAGCAACACCAAGGGTGCCTAGCTGATTGCCCGGATCATGGCACATGTCTTGTTTGGCCAAAATTCGCCGAGACCCAGGCACACGGCTGCCGCAGTCTGGTACAGAGGCATGTCTCGAGGATGCTGTTTAGCAGCTCCCGTCTCCGGAGGTGTCGCTGGAAATCAATCAGCACTTCGCGTCCAATGCCACAGCCTACAGCTACACCTCCCGAATGCCGACATCAAGCCAGAGTTGCAGTCACCAGGCTCAGAACTAGCAAAAACAGGACACGCGGAAGCCGGCCCAGGGCTTGGCAGCTCCACGGTTCTGTCACCCGGCGCTTTCCGACAAACCTGCCCTTTCAGGGCGGATTGTCTCGTGTACGTCAAGCGAAGTTCTTGCTCACTGTGACTGCTCAGTCAAAAATGCAGCCAACATGCGAAGCCTTCATGTTCCATGGAAAGGCGCCACACACGATTCTTTTGAATCTGCTGCTGAAGGAAGAGTCTAGACTTGAAATCAGCCCTTCCTGAACCAGCAGTTTTGCTAGGTTTTTTTGCTAGGTTTGTGCAACATTTTCAGCCATGACATGCTTGCAAAGTGGCAACTAGCTCCAGACATGAAGTTTAGCCTCTGCAGATTTGCTGTTTCAGGCAAGGTACTCCTGCTAAAGATGAAAATACCCACCGGGACTCAAAGAGTCAGATCAAGGCAAACCCTGTGGCACACTCATGGATCGCGAAAGCTAGCTTCTTCTCGAGCACTTCCGGGGCATATGCAGGCAGAGTGATCGTGTTGAAACAAGTGTGTGAAGTTGGCAGCTTGCCCGAGCAAGGCGTCACTTCCACAGTAAAGGGTGGATCGAGAAGTGCGAAGCCGCAGGCCGGCAGGCGTGAACAGCCACTTGCGAAGGCCAGCACAGCACTACGCTCAACTGCAGGCCAATGCTCCAAGGTGTCCCAGAAGATGTTCGCAACTGAATATGCTTCCTCTTCAGCGACGCCAGCAGCACGCACCTGTGAATACCGCCGCCAAGCTTCGATGTCGATATGGTCGACTCCCGACAGCAAGTTGCCCAGCTGAACCCAGGACAAGCCCACCTGACAACGAATGAAGAGCCGCGGGATAAACCGGATTTAGAAAAGCCACGATTAATTTGTTGTTGTGAGATCTACATGCTACATGTCGTTTGACGAATGTCGCCCTAGTCCCATTCCCCTGACCGCCTGCTGTAGCAGCTTGCGGGGCACAATATCGTGAAAACCTGCAAGGAACTCAGAAATTTCTGTTCTCACATCACCACAAATGTAATCTTCACAGAGCAATGCCACGTATTCCATCACGTTTGTATCGGTAACCTCCTCAGCAGCACCACCTGGCTTCAACTCTCTGCCACCCTCAACAAAAAGAAGCTTGTCCTCCATCAATGCTGCGGTGACCATGTGGCGTCCCTGCACCGAGAGGACTGCTTCGATACGGTTCTTGTAGTAAATAGGATCCCGCTTTCGAACATCAGCCGATGTTATGGGAGTGCCGACCATGCACTTGAGCAAGCAGTCCGACAGAGGAAGAGGTAGGGCTGAGTCACCATAGCTCGCATGCACCAGGGCAACTCCCACAAGTCGGCCAAGGGCAAAGTAGACGGCCGGAGGCCGGGAGGACGGGGCTAACATCAAGGAGCCGTCGGCTTGCGGACAGAACATGGGCTGACCAATGCCTTCCACCGAAACGCTTCGGCGAAACTTTGGTTGTTGCCTGGTCGGCCTAGAAGGCGGGGACGCATCTGCTGAAAGTTCCTTGATCGCCAACTCAAAAAACTCCCGGGTCAAGCCACCACTGTCCACACCTGCTTCTGCGAAGCCACCGCTCTCGTGGAACCTTACATGGACACCCGAAAGCAGGTGCGATGGCTTTGCAGCCAGAATTGCCTCCACAGCAGAGTCAAATGCCGAGCCACGCTTTACCTCTAGAGGAACTTTGCCGAAATAGTGACGCTGCTTGGGATCAACTCGCAGCCGAAACTTACAAGAAATCGCCACAAAACCTCTCCCACTGGCACTTTCTTTCCACTGCTGTCTTTGGAGCTGTAGTTCCAACTCAGCTCGGAGCAACAGGCGCCTTTGCATGAGCGTGTCACGGGTCTCGACTTGTGAATCTTGCTGATGCCAGAAATCATCCCGCAGCACGGCGCGGAATGGCTTCGCTTCAGCCGAGTCAATGGCATCTTCGACATCACTGATTAATTGGCTGCGGCTGCGACCGGCCAAGAACTCGTGTGCAGCTTGGACTCGCCGTCGGTAGATGAGAGGCTCGTATACGAAATGCAACCAGACATATGCCAGCCCACGTCTGGCGCTTCGTTGCAAAGTCGAGGCCTGGAGGATTGCTGCGAAGCACACATCCCGCCAACCACTGCCACCGCAGCCGCGATGTCGCTGACGTTTGTTGGGGGACGCTTCAACGTAAGGTCCGCCTGCCCTTTTCATGTGCCTGAAGCAGTAGCTTGCATGAGCAACGGTTCACCTGATGAACCCGTGCAAACGGCAATGCATGTCCCTTCAGGTTTGGTTACAGAGGTTACAGGTGGGTTACAGGTGGGTGGGCAGTGCTGGCATGCAACCTTAAATGTCGATCAGCTCTACGGCGTGCATCATGTCACACTACCAAATATTTTCGTTCACTTCGCCGCATCTCCCACCTACAGAACAATATGAAACAATAACACATATGGACAACAGGCTGCGGCATGTCCATGCTTAGGTGTCAATCCTTTCCCAATGCTGTGCTGCTCAGCCTGCATCGCGTGTCCGGGAAGCTGTGCAGGTCGGGACCATGCCACAGACCGGCCATCAAGAAAACAACACCTCAAACTATCTGCCGTGCGCGACTCAGATGTTGTTTTGCAACTTCTCACCTGTATTTGGATAGTCGTGCAGGTATGCGTCAGAACGAATTGTTGCTTTTGCTATCTCGAGCACAAACACACAATCTGCCTGCATGCGGGGCATCCTTGTTTTGCAGCAAACGACGCGCAATGGATAGTTTATTTACTTCATAAGCGTCGCAAGCGTCTTGACAAAACACGCCGCGTCGCACCGAAACCATGACATGCACCGAGAGCAAAGACTGCGACATCAGATTGTCTTGCTAATCCGGGGCACGGAAGCATAATCAAGCACGTCAAGCCAACAGAATGGCAAGAATTCCCCATTGAAGCCGATCTAACGCCTTTCAGACTGTGTGCAACAATTGTTTGTGTAGCCAAACCCCGGGCAATTAGTTGAACAGCGGCTTCTTCACACAGGTTCACTGCGCAACTTATGCATGTATCCATGCCAATAACCCGAGGCTCGGATCCGCCGAGGCTGGAGGCCCCAGGCGTTTTGAGGGGGGAGGGAGGGGGGGAAGGGAGGGGGAGTTGGATAAAATTAACAACATCGGCCCGAAGGCTTCAAACTTACTTTCATTTTCCGGCCAGGCTGCTGCCTTGCTTGTTTGAAGAAAACACAAAAACTGCTTTGAGAACCAAGCCTCTCCCTTCAGAAGAGGCTGCTTTCCGGAGCAAAGCAAGGCCTTCAGAAAGTTAGCTTTCTTACTAAAGGGCCAATAAACGGAAACAAGGTTGCAGTCCTTTCTGAGCTACCCCTTACGGGGCCGCCCGGCAACATCTCGATTTAGATTTATACAAGGGACCACATTTACCGCAGGCCGCCGGGGCTGCCAGACTGCTGCTGCAGTCTTTGCTGATGAGTCCTTGCATTTTTAGGAAGATAAACAATGTCTTGAGAACCAGGCTTTTCCATTCAGCAAGGGCAACGGGCCGGAGCAATGGCTTTTTTAAAAAAGTAACGGGCTAAGAAACGGAAATTGTTTTGCATCTTTTCCCGAGTCACCCCCTTACGCTGCCTGCCCATCAACATCGCGAACCAGACTTATAAAAGGGACCACATTTGTTACAACAGGCCGGTGGGCCCTGATAGACTGCTGCTGCAGTCTTTGCTGATGATTCCTAGCTTCTTTGAGCGAGAAACAAAACTCTTACTAAAAAGCTGATGAACGGATTCAATATTTCATTCCCTCCTAAGCTACCCCTTTACGTTGCCTGCCCGGAAGCATCTTGAACCGTATCTATAAAAGAGACCACGTTTATAGCTGACTGGAGCTGCAGTTTTTGCTGATGAGCAATTTATTACTAACTCCTAACTGCCCAGTATCTACTGTTCCTGACTACTACCTACTAACCACTACTATCTACAAACCACTATCTACTATATACTAACTACAAATGCTACTAATGCTACTAATGCTGCTAATGCTGCTGATGCTGCTGCTGCTGCTGCTACTTGATTTTACTGCTACTTCGACTACTACAACAACTGCTTCTACTACTACTACTACTACTACTACTACTACTACTACTACTACTACTACGACTACGACTACTACTACTACTACTACNACTACTGCTACTACTACTACTTCTTCTTCTTCTACCACTACTACTGCTACTGCTACTGCTACTACTACTACTACTACTACTACTACTACTATAACTACTACGACTACTTCTGCTATTACTACTACTACTACTACTACTACTACTACTACTACTTCTTCTTTTTCTACTACTTCTACGACTACTACTACGACCAAAGCCCTTATTCACAAGTTTCTGAAACATACTCAGGTTGACCTCACAGCGTTTAGTTGTTTTGACAAAATCAAGTTTGCTTGCACTGCATGCAAGCTTTGTACATGGAATGTACATGGAGAGTTCACTTTTTTAGGTCCAATTCATTTGGCCCTTTTCCAGAACTTACGCAGCTGGCCACACGGAAAAAGAAAACATGTCTGGCCCGCCAAACCAGTGTTTTGACTGGAACAGACGTAGAAACGCATGATCTGCTCCGACTCTTTGGCTAAAGAGCCAACTGTGTTGAAGGCGCTTGCTTTAAAAGCGATGAGCCATCTGTTGAAATGAAGGTGGTCGAAACAGGTCCGAGTTGCTCTGGAAGGTCTCTCTATCCGCATAAAACCGCGAAACCCAACATACAACGTCGTCTCTGCCATGACAGAAAGAAACAATCTGCAAGCAAGTAAAAACCCAAAATGCAACTGCACACAAATAGGTTCTAACCACCGGAAATAGATCTGCTGCAATACAATGACCCGGCTCCAAGAGTTAGTTGCGCCATCAATTCCAAGCGCGAATATCTTGAACGTGTGGAAGCATCAGAAGAAAGTTAGCCGGAAGTGCGAAGCAAGCCAACTGTATGGGCTCCAAGCCAAAGTGCACGACAAGGCCGGACAGCAGATACTTAGCAGTTTAGGCCGAGTCGCGGGATGAAGAGAAGCTCCATAGCCCAAGCAGGCAAAGAGGGCTCATCGCTTGGTTTTTGAGTGCGGTAGCAAATTCTGCGCAGTGTTAAGTGGCTATGGCACAGAGTGAACCAAACTGGCGGCAGTAGAAGCTCCAGCTTTTGGGCTGTTGACGACTTTACACGCTTTAGCTGCTGCAAATCCAGAAGAACGGAACTGGCTAGAAACAGTTTAAGCGGACATCAGAACCAAATTTGCGATGGATGACCAAACAAGCAACCTTCTGTGCAGTCTCCAGAGTGGAGATCCTGTCACGACTTGCCACGGTCAAGGTCTCTCGATCAGCCGACAAGAAGGCTTTCTCTCTTTTTGCGCCACTCCATCCAACATGAGACACTGCACTTTTCTGGACAACGACAGCAACAATATTTTGGAGATGAAGCTAGCGCACGAAAACACATCAACCTTTCGGATTTCTCAACTCTTCTCTTCAAACCGCAGAGTCTAAAGAGAAACCATTCGTAAGCTCTCTACCTTGCATGCAGCAAGGTGGCAGGCGAAATGGTGGACGTGTTCGCGTTGAAGTGAAAAAACTGAGATGGCTTGCTTTTGAAGGTTTCGGAACTTACGCAGAGTTTTTAAAGCTCGAGCTGGAGGCAGCTTTTCTGCTTCACGCCAGAAAGAGTCTTTGGTTTCGAAAGCACCATGAAAAATGTTCGTCTATTGCTCGGCGCAAGTCAAGTCGTAAAAAATGACATACGTTCCTGCTTTTTCCGATTTGCTTTACTCAAAAGCAACTCATTAATGACAATCCCAGTTTCAAAAGCTTGCTTCGAAGAACCTGGCAGTGATTGCTGGAAACCTTGACCAGGACTCTCGAATAGACATGCGATAATTCCGTTGTGCCTAATCGGCATTATTGTTCTGATTATTTGGATTTGATAATTAAAAAAAAGAGGAGCAGATTTCTTGAAGACTCAGAAAACGACCTTATTTTTGGGCCTGCATTTTGGTGCCGAGAGCCACTTTCGAGTCCGTTCTTGGAACTGCAAACGGAGCAACCGTTTCTTCAGCGATGTAATTGAGTCCAAACTGTGACTGTAGCCAGTTACTGCTTGTTTTGAACACGTATTCGTCTTCGTTTCAAACAATCAAGTTGAAACTTTCTGCGTTCTTACCAAGTGCAGTAGCAACAGGGGAGGCCCTTGTGGTGGACACGTTTGGAAGGGTTTTTCGGTCTGGAAATTGAACCCGTCCTGTCGGCCAAAAAACTGAACTATTCGG